CGTTAATCGTCTTACCTTATAAAAATTGTTGGCTGCAAATTCGCGGTTAGGGCTGACAGTCATGATTTATGACTGCTGTCCATCGCCGCTGTAACTCTCCTCATTAAAAGTCATAAAATAAAATGGCATGACTAGCTTTAAAGGAGCGGTTATATCAGTGTTTCCCAACCCTGGTCCTCAAGGCACACTGACCTGCATGTTTTAGATGTTCCCCTGCTGCAGCACACATGATTTCAATTGTTGGCTGACTATCAGGGTTTTGCTGAATTGCACTCATCTGAATGGGGTGTGTTGAAGCAGGGGAACATCTAAAACATGCAGGTCAGTGCCTTGAGGACCAGGGTTGGGAAACACTGGGTTATATTAACAGCCATTATGACGGAGTGGGCGGAGTTCTGGGGAGCGTGACCTCACGTGCAAAGGTCAGTATCTGGCTCAAACATCTTAAAGTACTTGAACCAGCTCATCAGCGGAAATGACACATTAACATGTCTCAACAGGCTGTTTTGTAATCCCACTTTTGGTTGTTATGTTCTGAAACATGTTCAAACTCGTCCACCCAAATGTAACATTTTGTAAAACCTGCCCCAACCGTCTGCTTTCCACTTCCACTCACAACACATCGCACAGGGGCTGAAAAACGGCATTATGTGGCTGAGGAGATCAGTGTGTGCAGTCTGGGTTGTTTACATCCTAAAAAAGCTCCTGTGTGGGTGTGTGTGTGTGGATTCTCAAACTTTCCACCAAGTGAACTGGGTTCTGGTTCATTTTGTGGTATTTTCAGGTGTCAGCATGTTGGAGAAGCTCTGTTAAGTTTTGTTTGTGCGTTGCATTTTTGTCCAATTATTCCTTGTGGTCTCAGATGCAATGAAGCTGAAAGGATATTTGCTTATTCCTTTTTACTTTTGGACAGTGGTTATAGTGTGCAACCATGGCAACAATATATTGTTTTTTACAATTGGGAGCAGCTGATTAGTATCTTAATAATTCAGTGAATATCTGAACAAGAGGAGTTGAAAAGGAGGAATCTCTTAAATCGATCATAATCTGCAGCAACAGCCTTCAGTCAGAAGCATCTTTGGATTTGTTGCGAGACTGACTGCTCCTGCAGACATTTCCTGCTTTATCAACCACATCTTTGAAAATACTTGGATGATATACATAAACATTTTGTTTTTTACATTACTAAGAATCATATCTGTGTCCAAAAGTCATAGGGAAACAAATGAGTTGGTGTTTGAATTTATATATTTTAAAGACAAATATTTTTTTTCTGTTAAATCCTCAACATGTAAGCAATAAACAAATATTTACATTTGAAATTAATTTCAAAATAGCTCATGCTTGAAAATGGAACACATCAATATTTTACAGAATAGATGCTGGATACTGTTTTTTTTATTATTTAACTACAAGACAATGACATAAAAAACAATATTTCAATACATTTCTGTATTTATGTTCCGTATTAAAGTAGAAGACTCTCTCTGATGACGTATGTGACACGTAGGGGTCGATGGGAATGTATTATGTCTGGCGCCGCATGGTGGGGGTGTGAACACGTCCGTTCACACTCACACACACTCACACACACTCATCCCACAGAAAAAGAGGCAGAGACAAACACCCAGTTTTCTTTCTCACGGACTTTTTGCGTCCCACATTCAGCAGGAGCGCGGATCCACTGAGGACGTCTGCAGACCGACTCGCAGTAAGTCCCGCTCACGTTTGTCCAGCTACCGCCAAGCTACAAAACTTTGACCCTTTGAAAATGAGTCCGGACCAGTCCGAAGCGACCCGAACTCGCTGAGTTATGTCCTTAAAAGAAAACAGAATTTAGCTAAATCGACCTAGAAATGAAATGAATAAAACTTGAACCATCGTTAAGACTTTCCGAGTAGACTTTATCTTTGTGTGGTTTGAAAATATCCCGTTTTTCCGAGAGATCCGTCTCACTGGAACAGTTGCATCTGTTTCAAAGTAGTGCAAAATCTGCATTTCATTACACATTTATTATTAAATCTATCCTACACAATGTTTGATGTTTAGCATTTGTGAAGTTTATTATGTTATTACGGGATAAACAGGATTCTTCGGTTGAGTTTCATTGCTTGAATACTGAAAATAAGCAGCAGTCAGTTGTCAGATGACTGCGTGAGTTTGGGACTTTTTGCTCAAGTTGGTTGCTAAATGTTGTGGGCAGTGGCGTAACTCTGAAATCTGGGGACTGTGGGTATCCTGTCCTGGTGCCCGTTAGGAAGTTTTTCTTTTTTTCCAAGTTTGGCCACACGCAGCACGTAGACACTAGTTAAAATAAATAGGAAAATATAATATAATAATGTTATATATATAGTAAAATAATATAATCAAGTTACTTTTACTAAAATAAAATAAAAATTACACATTCCAACTGCAGCTGACAAAAATAAAGTTAAACAGACTCTAAACTCTAAATAAGGACACAAAATAAGCTAGTATTGGCTAATATTGGTACCATTAGCTCAATTGTGCATTTGATAAAAGAAATACAGCTGGATCACCGTTATAGTTCTACAAAGCGTAACATATTCATTTAATTATAATATTAAAGTAATACTTGCTATAAAATTGTCTGTTTTAACAATATAATGAATAATTGTCAATATAGTTTGAAGATTTTAATCCAATAGAAAGTCATGCATTGGACTCACTGGTCAGTAGTGCGCCCTCTGGTGGACACATCACGGACAAGAGAAGACTTTTTAAAATAATAATCTCATCTTTTATGAAATTAACTAGTTATCACATTGTACAAGATTATATCCCATGTGTTCCAGGGAAACACATGGGATATTTAGCACGTGCAAATGAGCTAATAGCTTGTGGAGTAACAGGGCTAGCAGCTAGCTTAAAATAGCAACGTCTTCATTGGAGTGGAGTTGGTTTAGTTTTCACCAGATATTTTTAAAAAAACATTTTCTTTATTGTATGCAAAGAAAAAGTGTTGGAGCATTTTTCAGGTAGCCAGGGAATACTGTTTTTTTTATGCTCTTCATAATAAGGTTAGCATTTTAAAACCATAATCTGTGAAAACTTGTATAGTCTACTGGTAAGTATCCTGTTTATACCTACTCATTTAAAAGAAATATAAAGATATACAATTTATTTCAATTGAATTTCATGAAAAACACCACAGTAAACATCGTTACATGTTCAAAACAAAGCATCTGTTGAAAGCAGGTTTTCCAGCCACATGCTAATTTGCTAACCTGGTCTTCGGTTGGACGTTTTTGAAAAGCCAGCAAAATTAAAAAGAAAGTTTCCTGTCAAAACACACACACACACACACACACACACACACACACACATTGCAACTATTAACAAGAAATATTAAATGCATATTGGAGAAAACCAATTCTCCACAACAAAGTAGGTTGGTTCACATCAGTATTTCCCTAAAAATGGACAAATACAGTCACTCATAAGAATATGTGTAAATTCTGGTGGTGAAGGAATAAACGATGGTTTTCTGGACCCCCAGTGCACCAGTGAAACGTTCCCAGTGCCATACCTCCATTAAACCAGTTTGAACCATTTAAATATGGATGCTTGCTTTAATGTTGGCACCAGATTCTGATCCAACCGTTTGAATATTTCAGCTGAAATTAATTGTTTTCAGGTTTGATGAGTGAATTCGCTTCAGTTTTTTCTGTTTATCTGACAGAAGTGGCACCTGCTAACCTTAAAGGGATTTTTTTTTTTTTTTGAGCTGTTGCTGTTTTGGGTTTTTTGTTTTTTTTTGTCTCGGTTACATCAATGTGGCGTTTCGTCCGTTCAGCTGCTGCTCGTTGCATAATTAGGTTTCTATGTTACAGATCATTATCTGTATTCATATTAGTTTCTGAAATACTCCAACTAGCACGTCTTGTGTAATACTCACAGTTGGTTACATTTACTCAATTACTTTTACTTTAGTCATTTTATTGTGAAGTATTTCTTACTTTAGTAAAATTTCTGGATTTTCTACCCACTGAATGAAAATCAAATGTATTTTAACCAAAAATTCACCAGACACAGACACACACCTGCAGTTTTTGTTAAAGTTTCATAAGTTGTTTTTTTTTGTTGAAGGAAACTGATTTGGAAACTTTTTCTTTTTTATGATTTTGTTATTCTGTTTGTTACTCTCTTATTTTCATCCTTAAAATACCTAAATTTCCACTTAACTTTATATTTTTGTCTGTCTGATTGTGTAATTTTTAAATATTAAATTATTGACAATTTGATCAGTTACTCAGTAATTGAGTGGACTTCTTACCAAATACTTTTTAAAATCTTACCTGAGTAATTTCTTGGACGGTTGCTCTTCATTTTACTTGAGTAAAAATATTTTGAAGTTGTAATACTGCAGGTTTAATACCACGACACTAAAAACACAAACAAAACTTTAACCACCTAAATTTATTACCCCATTTTCAAGAAATTATCTCAGAGATTTTAGCTTTTCTGTGTTTATTAACCTCCATAATAAAATAAATAAGTTGATATACAATAATTTGTTTACTGGTTTAAAACTGTATAAAATGGAAGGAAGAAGCAAATAAATGAAAAAGACAAATTGACTCAATTTAATTCTAAATACAAAATATCACTTTGATTAATTTAGTACATATGTGGAAATTTGCTGAATAAATAAAAAGCACATCTGTGATGTATTAAGCCACAGGTGTCAAACTCGAGGCGTGTGGGCCAAATCCGGCCCGCCATATCTGTTTATGTTCCGTCTAGATTCTAGACTAAACACTATGTCTGCTTAAATATTATGTTTTCAATCAAATCAATGCAGTTTTTATATGTTTATTGCCAAATTGTAACAATTAATTCCTCCAGTTTCTTCAGAATTATCATGGAAATTTACACAAAATCAACAAATTGCACTAATAATTGGGAGTTTATTGCAGATTTTCTCAAATATTGTCAAAAACTTTCTTACTTCTACTAAACAGCTGCCTCAGCTTTAAGTGTTGTCAGATTAAAGTCCATGATCTACACAGCGAGTAAAAAAAAGTCACATTTACTGTCATAAATAACCATAAATATCGTAAATATTTCCAAATTAGTACCACAAACACTTTGATTTTTTATTGGAAAAATCACAAAAAGAATCACGAAACCCTGGAGGGACTGAAAGGATGTTCAATAACATTATTTGATTTTAGAAAATTACTGATATTTTAACAGTTTGGTGAACAGATTTTATCAATACATTCTGGCGCCGCCGGCCCTTTAAGAGCACAGATGATCTTGATTTGGCCCAAAACGAAAATGAGTTTGTCACCGCTGAATTAAACAAAAAATAGTTCATAAGATTTAGAATTGAGTGCTGAAATTGCAAAATTTGTAATGATTTTCAAGTTCTACTTTTAAGTGCCAGACATACAGTAACATTACATGAAGCCGCTGCTGTTCGATCTGTAATCTCAGCCATTTAAACCATTAATAATGTAACATTTCTAACTCCATCACATTATAAAATATCTTTCTTTGGTTTTATTGCTGTCAGACGTTCAGTCAGCTGCTCCCTGACCTCCGCAGGGTCGTTTTCTGAATCGTGTCGTCTCGTCGCTGCTGCAGTTCGAAAGGCTTTTTCAAATAAACAATCGACACATTTCAGAGAAGGGAGGCGCCTCATAAACACAGATTAGAAAGCCGTGTTTTAATTTGGGCTTTGGTTGATCCTCCCCACATTTAACAGCGCTGCCAGCTAATGACAGGCCGGCGCTCCAAACTGGGACGACACAGTCAGCAAAAGTCTGAATTGTTCAGTTCTTACAGGATATTTAAAACGGTTTCAATGTGTTTTGTTAGATTGGAGAACATGAATGGTATCTTTTTGTTTTTAAACTGAAAGAGCGAAAGCAGCACTCCTTATATGTAGCTTCCTGTTACCTCACTGCTCTTATGAGCAATAATCTGCTGTAGGTTCTAGTTGTTGGCACAGATGCTTAATAATCTCCACAGAAAGAGGGAAGCCACCTGAAGGGGTTTCACACGTTTCTGTCACAGCGTCGTCATAGCGATGCTAAACAGGAAAGCCCCTCCTCATCCCCCAAAACGTATCCCAAAACTTTCAGAGACGTGAAGATGCGTAATCACAGCATCACACTGTAAAACATTTGGTTAAACTTGAAAATGAAAGTCCACCCGCTGCCTTGAAAATGCAATTTAAGTCGCAGGAAAATAGTTTTGGTTTCAACTCAGAAATTAAAGTTCATGAAGTTGATTTGACAACAAGAGACAAGTTGTCTAAACTTTGTTTTTTAGCTTCATTCATCTTTAATTGTGAGTTTTAACTAAAAATCTGGCCTCACCTGGTTAAAGAGCCACATTTCTCTATTATTTTACTCACAATATCAAGTTAAAATAAATACTGATTTTACTTTAGATTAATTTAAATTCTTGTTTGAACTAAATTTCTGATCTGATGATGAATTTTATTAAACATCCCAATGAATTCAGCTCAGAAACATTTAGTGAGATCAGGACATTATCCTCAAGCTTTGCTGACTGAGAATTGCATTAAAATGAACATTTGCCTTAATAAAACACCAGAGTCAGATCAACGTAACGCACTTCCACCTCAGGAGACAGAAATATGCCGCTAAGCATTCTGGGAAATAGCTCCCACTCCTGTCTTTCTCTTCTTTCAGTTTTTTAAGTGCAAACCTAAAA